CACCCATCCGTAATTTTTATTATTGACTGTTTTGTGTCGTGTTGGTGTCTACTGGTGACTGATTGTGACGGTGGGCCATTGGAGCTCCAAAAAGTAGGCATAAAGGCGGAGAATAGCGGTGACGTCATCCACCATGTCATACGAGGAGCCGAATACTTTAAAGATTAAAGGTAGGTAGGTGGGTTTATGAAGTCATCCCCGACTAAAAATAATAGTATTTACATTTTGTCCGGCCACCTAAAAAATGCAGTCCACTTTTCGCCTATTCTTATTCCAACTTACAACTTTCGTCAACACTATCGCGGGCGAAGCTCGATTTTACGGACATACATGATAACTTTAGCTATCATCGAGTCAACATTAGGGCCTATTTCTTTGTATCTCCTTAAATACTCGAACCAGTGCAATGTTCTTCACGTGTGCTCTATGATCCAACTTTAAATGAGATCGTACGGTGCCTTGCGAGTCCAATATAATAACACCTTCCGGGCCTTATTTCTGCAGCGCATCTGGCATGTTCACTGATGCTAATGTGGACGATTTGTATGCAATCCCTCTCGTTAGTACGAAGAGTGAGGGGTAGCAGCAACGGGATCCTGAAGACGATAGCGGGCAGGTTGGATACGGCTGTACTCTGGAAGTTCACTGAGTTGCACGTTTTACGTGGGAGTCAATGAGCCGCCGGGGTGGCTGTCTTCATCCTGTTTGCTATAAGTAATTAATTAATTTATTATTTGTAATTTCACAGTCTGTAGAGCGACTTGGACTCTACTAATACTGACACTAACATAGTTATAAGGTGTGTCATGTTACTAACTTGTATGGACTTTATTGTCTGACAATAAATGATTTTTATTTATTTATTTAATGTAAATAAATTAAGATTATTTTACAGGTACATTTCAAACCTCCACTCTTAATTCCCGTGGCTCACTAACTATCGACGTGGAACGCCCAATCCTGCTTGAAATTTGCGAAAAACGTCTTGCAAGAATCAAAGATATACATGACTGTGTAAGATATAATTATCATTGGAAATCAAACTATTTTTTTGATCTAAATCGCGTGTATTTGCGAGTCTAATAAACGCAAATTAGGTATATAATTTTTACATACAATTTTTACATTTTATATAGAAGAAGATTACGTGATTTTTTTAAACAAACTGACTACAAGTTGGGGCCTTCGTTTTTTCATGAAGAATTTGGAAAGAATTCCAAAGCTATCACATAGTTTATTAATCACGACGCTTCACGATTCAATAAAATAGAGTAAGCAATAAGACATCAAACGAATTCACATTGACTGAACAACAACAAGGCTATCGGCGAGCCGTTTTCGCGCTTAGACGGCTTTGATATTTGAATATAGTTTTGATTTATTCATTACGAAACTTGAACGTTAATATATAACATCATTTTACGTTACTATTTGTTACGGTCGTGCTGTCTACGGCTGTTTATTATCATCTAAACGAGATAAAGAAAAGAGTTTCTTTCGTTTTCCGAAAGTAGTCTAACGAAGTACATAAAAAAACTTACGTCTGAGACCCATTCAATTATTGTTTTCTTTACTTATTTAGTGCAGAGTAATATATAATACAGATTTATTATATCAATGTAATGAGACGCCTTAACTTCGTGAGCTAGTAGACGTAGACAAAAGATTTCGAATTGTCAATTGTATTGCAATTGTAAAAATTATGTAGTGTATATACCTAATTATTAACTAGGAAATGATAAACTTTGACAAGCAATTTCAAATACCTTATTTAAAAGTATCTGTCCAAAATATAACACTTTAAGTACTTTTAATATGTTTTTAAATAAATCTTCAATATTATTCTAGTTAGTGAATTAATGAAAAATATAATATTATGTATATAGAAATGCCTAAATAACATGTGTAATTATTAGGATTATGTTGCGAGAATTGTAAATAACATTCGCGTTAGAATTTTCGCTATGTTGCCGCTCTGACCACGTAACGTAATACTACGAGAAGGTGATGGGTGACCCTGCCACTTCACGCACACATTTGCGGGTGTGCAGATAGCGCCTTGCTGTATGTAGTAGTAGTAGATAAATAAGCTTTAGTTGTATGGAGTGTCCGGGGCGTGCTTTTTCATATTAAGTTAAAGATGTTAAAGCAGTACTTAAAATGAAATTATATAATTACTATTTCATTATGGTTAGACACAAGCAGTGACTTGGAACTTATAACATTGTTACTAGTACATTATTGGATTTCACTACATCCAGAACGGTACCTCTAATTGACACTACGCCAAGTTGTGTTGTCATTTTGTTTTTTGTTTCTTTATTTTTTTCACATAATTCGGGGAGCATAATATAATAAATAAATATCGCTGTTTTGTTTACAAAATTAACAGAAAATGACCAAGAAATAAAGTTAGTGTTCATTGGAAGTATCGAGAAGTAAGCTTGAAAGCAATAATGCAATTAAAGTAAAATGCCTGATCTTTGTAGCCGTCAAATAGGTTATTGAATTTTTCTTTTTCCACAGATTGCAAGCATATATTCTGAGTCCACACGCGACATCAAAGTTCCGAATGAGCCGTTGCTGTATAAGATCCGTCAGTTACTGCGTATGTTTCCTTTTTTTGTAATTCGCACACCAAATGATAAAGTGACGTAGTAATTTTTAGGAAACTGGAAAAAGCAACGTATGTGGCACCAACAATTTGACTAAGGCCAAATATGACAAGATTCGATTTGTCGTATTTGTCCGCAGCCTTAGTTTTATATCGTACATTATTTTTTTATTCGTATTGTCACGTTCTCAATAATGTTACTTTTGGAATTAGTTGCTAGTTTATTATTGAGGGTGCACTGTATATATAACCTTTTTTCCGTCAGCAAGTTTGAACTTCTAGCTTTGGATCCAGGCTTATGTACTTATTATCCTGTATATAGCATAATAAGTATATAATCACCATTACAGCTACCGTAAAGCACTTTGTTTTCTTACTACTTTATATATACAATAAATAAATATTATCATACTCCGTTCTTTTATGATATATTGAGTGTAGTATGAAAAAAATGTGCTTTACGGCATTTAGAAAAGCATTACAATTTGCAATATCGAATAGCAAATTAGTTTCCTTATATATATTAATATAAACATGGAATATAATTTCTAGATATACTCGTGCTTACTTTTTTGCATATTAATATGGATTTTTCTTTCTACAGAACGCTTAGGCGTAGATTCGACAACTATACAAACAACCCAAATAGGAGTGCAGACTTTAGAAGGAACGATTGGATTTGACAGCCTTTCCGTTCAACTGGGCTGGAACACTCGTCCAGAGCAGCTGATCATCCGAAGTCTTATTACCGCATTTATGATCGCCTGCGGCCCAGCCAACGACAGCCGTCGACAAATAATACAGCCGTTTCATGCTGGGTAATACTACATTGTGTATTAAGTGCGGTAAATAAGGAATTACGAACGAGATTCTATTAGAAGACGAAGACCGAGTTTCGAAGTTGAGATTCGTAATTCGTAATTCCCGTACCACCCGTGAAGCGTACAATGTTTGTCATCACATATACAAAATAAATATCGCTTCCTAACCAGCGATATCTATGTACAACACAACAATTACGGATTTTGAAAATCTTTTAATTTTCTCAACAGAGCTATTCGTCCATAGATAATACAACTTGAAGTAAAATGTAGTAAAAGACAAAAACGTATGCAGCCATGATGTATTAGATGTAAAATGCATAATTTCAAAATACTAAAAATACTGCAGAATTTGAATTTATAAAATTAATTTAATAAAATATACTTAAATTGCAAACGTTTAGTTTTTTTCCGTACTTCGAGCTTAAGCGAAATACATTTAGATTTTTCAAGCATGAAAACTTCTTGCTTAATCTTGACGTTGAGAAGTACAGTGCAATTAAATTAAAAAATAAATCGATTACTGTCGTAAGGCAGTAATGTAATGAGAAAGCCCGTGGGTGTAATTTAGGACATTACGGTCGACTTTGCCTGCATATTATGACACTGTTTACGAGCAAATGTGATGAAAAATTCATTTTAGTATACCAAAGATGAATACAAGATCGTGTGTACATTATTCGAATTAGATAGTCTAAAGCCCTCAACATTATATTATAAAGTACAATGAAAACATCTTTTGGGATTATATATTTTACTCCTTAATATGTCAATGTTCTCAGTTTTCTACTGGAAGCCATGTGGGAGGTTTGGAGGCGTATTGAAGGCAGGATGTCAGCCAGAGATCCGAGTGTCCGTGTGTGCATCGACTTGGACAAGATCATTGTCGACCTGCGGCCGGCTGACGTCGAGGCTATCGCGAATGTGCGACAAATCTTGAAGGTCGTCTTCGAAGACGCGGTAATATCAAGGATATTATGTCCGTGCATTATCTGAATATGTGGAAACTAAATTTAACTGCCTCTATGGCCGAACGGTTACCGTGCTGGGCTGCCACGGAGAGATCCCAGGTCGGGAGAAATATTTGTGTCGCCTATATTTATTTATCTCGTGAGTTTAGGCGTAATTTGTGGTGTCTACCTGTTTGTGTGTGTGTCCATCATGTGTAGTTCGCGATACAGGGTTTCCCTAGTGCGGAGCTACGAGTGTGCGTCAAAAAAACTAATTTAAGCGTATCGTCGTCTTCGTATGCCAATGACGTCATCGAAATGAATTTATTCACGATTTTCGTACTTTTCAGGACGTAAGCAACTCCGATTCTTGTGACACCTGCGAGTGTGTAAACCAGGAACGCATTTTGGATGAGTGCGCTATGAACGAAGAGCAACGTCTTTTGATGGCATTCGATGAGTTTGGTGAATACAATATTGGTTCGGACCGAGGTGGGAATCATTTCTACAAAGACGATTTACGGTAAGAAAGAAAGATCAATGCTATGTGTTTGGTGGCTGAACGTGTTCAATATTATGACGTTGTATTGTGATACATAAGAACATTTTTTGCTTATATTTGAACATATCGTAATGTAAAAGACAACAAAAAGATGAGTTTAAGAATTGAATTACCTACTTGCTGTTGTACGTAATTTATGAAGTTCTAACCGATCTTTTTGAACAAATAACTCGTGTAATCCAACAAGGATTTTTTCAAATCATTTTGCCAATACACATGTGACGGTGCGACCTCCTTCGTCGTCATCCCGCCTTTTTATCACCATCTTTACTGGTGCCTGGCCACTTACTTTTGAAATTTTCAATTGTTCTCTAATTGCTTTTCTTTATTATTCTTGCGCTGCTTCGTTCCGTCGTCACTCTCATCAAAGTTGTCGTAGCGTAAGGACGTGCGAATCGATTCATCATGTAAACTCAACCTCACGTAATCTGATTTGTTTATTTATATAAAGGCCCTTTAGGAGTACGTGTCTGGACTGTTTAAGAGTGGGTTTTATACTGTTGTACCTGTTTTGTAGATTGTTTACTTTTGTTATAGCTTGTTCCCCCTTCTTTTTATCTTACTTATAATAAATTTATGTGGGCCGAGCCTTCTCTTTATTACGCAAAATCTACGTGACACACATCTGTCGTCACGTGAAATAATTGTTTGACGCGCTAGACGGTATAACATATCTAAATTTACTTTAGGGCTCATTTTCATCAGTTAGTAAGTTGGTCTCAGTCGACTAATACAAACCACGGAATAAAAAAGTAACGAGAAAGGTACTCTCCGCACCTTCCCAACTTTACATACCACACCGCGCCCATCATATTGAGCGTCACATTGACGAAACGGCAACAAGATTGTCAGCAAGCCGTTCGCTAAAGACGATTTTGATGTTTAAACAGTTTAAATTTATTTATTACGAACGAACGTACTTTACTGTATGATGGTCGTCAATCGTGTCACGTACAGTTATTTATTCATCTAAATGGGATAGAGTCTCTTCGAGTTAAAAAAAATAGATTTCGTATTTTCAATATAATGCGACTTCATAAAAAATAGTTGGAGACATTTAGAAGGAAATAATTTAGTCTAGGTAATTTATGGTAGTGTTATTAATTTATTAGTTTAAGTCTTTAGTTTAAGCTACTTATTTGACTTTAATTTAACTTGTCCAATTTACGGTTGTAAAACGACATATTCTATTTTATTTAATAAATAAAATCATTAGTATACGTAATTATCATATTATTGACATAAACAATACATTCATTTGCTCTTAAAAAGTCACTTCATCATCATTCACCATCAACCCATTTACACGTCTAAGCACGGTACGAGGGGCGTTCAATGTATTCTCGGTATAGGTATGAAATAATAGGCAAAAAATTCTAAATAAAATTTATTTTTCAATATATTCTCCTCAATACACTTATTTGATCGGGCAAATAACTTTTCGATGCCCTCGAAAAAATATTTTTCCTCTTCGCCTGAAAAATGTTTATTAATTGCCTCCTTCAACTCTTGAAGGAGGCAATAAAAAAAAAAACGCCGGCGCGTTGTCGTGAAGAAGCAAGACACCAGAGGTCAATTTTCCAGGTCTTTTTTCCTTTACAGCGTCCTTCAAATTGCGTAGGCTGTTTGCGTAAGCTGCGGTAGTAATACTTTGACCCATTTTTGTGTATTCGATCAGTAAAATTCCCTTAAAATCCCAAAACACTGTGGCCATGAGTTTTCCGGCGGAAATTCCACTCAGATTTTTCGCTACAGAGCTCCAAAAACCCCTTACTGCACTCAACTCGAACTTGTTTCTGAAGCGGCGTAAGCATTCGCGGCACCCATCTTGCACTGACTTTTGAAAGATTCAGATGTTCATGAAAGATAGTGTGAATGGTACCCACGGATAGCTTAGTCTTTTCTGCTAATGTTTTCACTCTGATACTCTGGGCATCTTCCAATACAAAATTTTGACGTTTTCTTCAGAAGTGGCACTTACCGGCCCTCCAGCACGGGGGTCGTCTTCAATACTCTCTCTACCCCGTTTAAATTCACTAGACCACTTCTGAATAGATAATGAAGGAGCAGAATCTTGATAAACAGCCACCATTTCTTCATGAATAACTTTTTGAGTCTTTCCTTGTTTTGTAAGGAATTTAATCACTGCGTGGTGCTCGATTTTCGTCAACATTGTGGCGTCTGTTATTGTAGTTGTCTTCTCGTATTGATAACTTGAATACTAATGATGACAATTACATGAAATTTTATATTTGTACCCTTAAAGAGTGTCTTTAACTAATGAGGTAATTAATTTACTCTTATCATGAGTTAATCACCCCGATACCGAGAATACAATGAACGCCCCTCGTAAATGGGTTGATGGCGGGGGTTTAGGTCACTGTGCACGTAAAACCATAAAATAAATACTAAAAGAAAGTGATGGATAACCCAACCACTTCATGTACCCCTGCGTATGTAGTACCGCCCTCGTAACGAAAAAAGGCACAACTATGCGTTACCTTTTGTTGTTCCGAGGGCAGAGTAGTGGGTAAATAAATTTCTGCCATTGTATGGAGCGTCCGGGGTGTGATGTAAACGCAGGGAAATGATGTGATTCTGGTTACGTACTTGTTTTTTTTTTATAGGAGCGGTGCATTTAAAATAATTAATGGGAGTCAATTGCCAATGGCTTACCAAGTGACGTTGAACCGCAGTATAGTATCATGGCGATACCCTCATCCTCGGGCCATAATACGACTCATAGCTTTCCCATTACCAGGAATAGTAAGTTCGTTTGTGTTAATGTGTGTAACATCTATGAGACGTACATAAGATCACAATTGCTTCGTGACAGTCAAATAAATAAAAAAATATGTTTTGTCGCTGAAAAATGCACTCTAAACATTGACCTACCAACAAATGGACATCGGGTCTAATACAAAATTCACGAAAAAAAATATCCGAAGTTAACCTATACAAACGTAGTGACTTGTAACGAAATATAAAAAACTAAAACATTTAATTTAAATTGTAACGTCATTGCAATACTGCCTAAATTTGCTTACAACAATTTAAGGGCCCAAAAACACCATATTCAGCTTCTACTTGAAACTTAACAAAATGCGCCATATTTAGCTTCGACTGAAAATTACTTGAACACAAGAGTAATGGAATAGCCTTTCTCGTAAATATTAATTAATTTTTTTATATATATTATTATGTCAAATTTTGTACAAATTCACTTGAAGGTATAATATAGAGTTGGGCAGATACATACATATAATTATTACTACAAATGTGAAAATAAGCGTGTACTATAAGAAATGTACCGATATTCTAACTAAACGTAAACTCAAATATCCGTAATTCCGATTTATAACAAAACCTACGCTTAACCTTACGCTTTCGAGTAATTTTGATGCTTTTTACATATCCAAAATTACCTTTTGTTTTGTAATCTTCGTAAAAACACATTATGAAAATTCGAGGTAATGTTATTTCGGGCAAATGTATTTTCCGACTTCTGATAGGTAATCCCATGCCTTAAAACGAGTACAACAATATTTTGTTAGTTATTGCTAACGTTTATTAAAAAAACTCATTTTAAAAATAGGATTAAAATCAAAGCAACTCTACAGTTTCTTTGTTCTAAATATTTCAATCGCTTGTGGTTCGAACATTTGAAAATGACGATGATGAAGAAGTTTATATAAGCTTCTTGAAACTGACGTAATGGGTCTCTTTCCATCTTTTGCGCATGCAATGGGTAGAAAAAGGACAGTTAGCTATTTCATTATTTCGTGTGCATTTGTAATTTATATTTACGATTCAGTTATATATAAATTAAATACTATAAAACTGTATAAAATAACACTTTTAAATGACAACTATGATAACACAATATATTTGTTTAGTGAAAATATGATACAAAATCCTGTTTTCACTTTACTGCAGTAATTTTTACAAGTTATTATTTGTACTGCATATATTGGTGCCGCATGATTGACAACCGCGCTGTCACTCGAACAAACGAAGATTATTGCGCGATTGACGCCTGTATGCGATTTTAACGCCCTACAGGTGCGGACACTTTTGAGCGCGAACCCGACGTCCATGTCCATTTATTGGTAGGTCAACGACTCTAAAAGAACTTATATGACACAATGAGGAATACTGTCATCAGGTTTGGGGTATAGTGAATGTGCGACAGAAGATTAACGAAAGAGATATAAAGAGCCAATGTGGAAGGCAACATTGAAAGAGGACAGTCAGGAAAAACTTTCGTAGAACAGATCGAGACTGTTCTTAAAAACGTGTGCGTAATGAAAAGAATAGGATGGATGATTCAAAAGTCGCAGACCGAGATAGCGGAGTTTTGGAATTTGTTGGATAACGTTGTCGATGACTTCGACTTCAAATAAAAGATTTTAATGTTTGGGTTGGTGTAGCGAGACACGGGTGAGAGAGCGAATTAGGAAAGTTTTGGTGATATGGGAGTAAATGAGAATGGTGATAGTTTGATTGCAGTGTACTTGGAAATGAATCTTATTGTAACAAACACTATGTTTGATCACAAGAAGATTCATATGTATACTTGGCAAAGAGGAAATAACAGAAGTATGATTGATTTTGTGATAGTGAATAAAAGATTAAAGGGTATGGAGGTTGATACTAGGGTGTGTCGAGGCACAGAACTCGGAACGGACCACTTCCTTGTAATATCCCGAATAAGTAGTCTGTTGAAAGGATGAAAGTGCCAATCACCAAACTAGAAAGAATTCAAATAAAACCTGTAAAAAACAATGTAGGTGAAGGGTACCTGAAGAAATTGCATAAAAAGATTGATGAATGTAAGTGAGAGGTTTGCCAGGATGGTGCAAAGTAGCGCTCGATATGCTCCATATGTATGTATAACACGAGATACTCAACGCAACTTTTAATTTTATTGCTTCGTCGAATGCTTTCATAGATCATACAACTTTTGTTTAAGTATAAGGAGACAGACTGTGTCCTTGAACTGTTCAACCGGCAATCAAAGGAATGGAAGCCCCACACATTCATCAAGATACCTGTGAGCGAACCAAGAGAAGTGCATTTGTTCGTTCCATCACCCGGTTCGTACGCTTTTATTGACATTCATTATAATACAATTAGGGTCATTCAAAGCTAAAGTCAGTGGACAGGGTTAGACAAACGCGTAACATCGTCGGCCACATCGCGTCATCGTCATGGCCAACCATTCATCTACTTTACATGAAAAAATATTAGAGCACGTTTTGTTTTACTGGCGGCCATGTAAGAGTGACGCCATTACTGAAGTTCGCCAACAATTCCGTGTTCTTATTAACCTGTCCGCTTTTAATATTTAAAGAACAGTCTTATTTAAAAGTTTTTGTTTACGTTTTTTTATATTAATTTGAGGGGCATTAAATTCTGAAATCAAATTCGATCCCGTGACTATATGGGTAATCCATTTATTGCCAGCATTATTTGAATGATGCATTTTGTACATTATAGACGCTGTGTTCTGCACAACATGGAGATTCCGGGTGTACTCCCAATCTGAGATACCACCAAATTACGAGTTCAATATTTCCAATTACGAACCACGCCCTGATGCTCTGGTTCGTATGCACTTAATACTTACAATGACGGCAGTCACTACAACGGTTATTATACGCATATTCATCATACTTTTGTCAGCTAAGTATATAGTAAAACGATGTTGTAACTAATCAACAAACTAGGTCTGCTCAAATGCAAACTAGACCATGCAGAAATGTTATACTGCAAGGGAAAATTACGTTTCGAAATAAGTTTTAGTCAGACTTTTGGCGGGGCGTTTGATTTATTGATGATTGCCACCAGGTACCTGACCCGGTGCCCGACACCGTCTTGGAAAGTTCTTTTGTGACAGCGGAAATGTTGTCGGGCGTGTTGCGAGTGGACTCGTACTTCTCGCCGCGGCTTCTACCGCGTATTCGCGTTACCATGCGGCTGAGCTCCATGCTCGTACATGCCCACAACTCGTTGCCAACATTTGACAGGTACGTACTTCTTACTTGTATTGTACGTATATTGACGGTTATATGCAAGCACCTTGCACCTAAGCTCTTAGACACCTCTCGCTTTCCTGTCCTGACAAAGCCGATTGTTTAAATGTAAATTTAACGCACTCCTAGCCACAATCTCACCTAATGTTAAGCGACAATGTGACTATTGTCCAAATAATGATTATTCACTCGAGGATTGCATTGCGAAATTGTAGCTTTCGGGAAGCACGCCGATAGCGTGTTCCATTCGTTAGGTAGACTCATTAGGAAGGAGGAAGGAAGCGCGCATTGCGCTAATGGGTCATATCGCACCCTTAGTAATATAAGGGCACAATCCAAAAAAAGTAGATTTTTGGGAAATTTGGGACTTGATAGGGACTTAAATAATAAATGGGATCAAACTTATATAGCTCCATATTTCTGTTATATTTTTTGTACTATATAGGTCTAACTTGAAAGTGTTTTTTTAACTTGCTTGAAACTTATGGAATTTATTTATATTATTTTTTTTATTGCTATTTATAATACATTTATCAAAGAACAAATCTGCCAAATTTCATATTTATAACTTAAATAATAAGCATATTATTTGAAAAATAGGTGTAATGTAGGAATCCAGAATCTTAATACGCGATTTCCCAAAAATCTACTTTTTTTGGATTATGCCCTTATATTACTAAGGGTGCGATATGTTAATGATGTATGGAATGTTTTAGTCGACCAAAGGAGAAAATAACGACTTACAGGCTGCTGTCTTACGGTTGCCGAGACACATTTTACATTTAACGAAATACTAAAAAATCGCAGGCAGAATATTTCACTACAATTTTTACTATCCTAAGGTTGCCTGAAAGAAATTGGTACTTAGCATTATGACCGCCTGTTGTGCAATAGCTTGCTCTGTGATACTTACCTTACTGTTCTGACCTGTCATTGTAATTTTAATGTGTGATAAAGAATATTTCATTCTATCATTCATTCATTCATTGAAGTCTTCCATGCACATATGAAACGAAATTGAAGCTTAATTATTTCTTGCAGAAATGCGACACACCTGGAAGGTTACTACGTGACAAAGCCTCTAATGCGGAGCCATCGGGTGTTGACGATTTGCTCACAAGGCTCGGAGGCGAATTTCTATTTCGGATCTCCTGCAGGATCATCATTTTTACTGAGCAGCAAAATTTCGTAAATATGTAGTTCAAAATTACAGGGGTCGGCAAGTCGGGGATTGCCTGAACTGTACCAGTTATACGAGTCAGGCATCCAGAATAGAAAGATCCAAAATAAAACAATTCATTCATGTTAAAAGTACTATTTGACATGTGATAAAAATTGCTTTCCTAGAAAGTACGTGGTACCTTCGAGAACCACAATTATATGCAAAATGTGGTCCTTGTGTGTGGAAAACCATGGTCGTTTGTGTCTTTTTAATTCTCAGCTGGAGGTGTTCTTGTCCGTTTACATAATTCATTATTAGTTGATTAGAAATTTTATTCCATCATACTTTCTTGGCCTAGTTGCGGGCCAGAAAAGTCAATAAAACTTCGCGTGTTAATTTTTTAAAACTAATCCCAAATATTTCCAAGCATGTTTGAGAAAAATAAATACCATAAACGCGTTTGCGCACTACATCCCATTCGTATTCGTTCCGAATCCGAACCTATACAAATCTAGAAAACTGGGATCCGCTTCCGATGTCGCTTGTGCACCAAGTCCGGCTTGTACATCTAGTTAAAATGATCCCAGTTACATTTCAGACTGTAATTTCTCGGATTCGGAACTAATACGAATCAGATGGAGTGCGCACTGTTCACTGTTCGTACTTGCAAGAAACAAAAGTTAGAAAGGTAACGGATAGATGACGAATTGGTTATTTTCAATACTCCCTAGTACTCATATAACATGGGACTTCAGGTACATGATAAATATGTCGTACATAAAATAATCTTAACACAGGAGCAACATACTGGACTGCACGACGGGAATTTTGGTACCGCTAGTGGACTCTTTCAATGCGCAAGCAGCAGTGTCGCTGCCGAGCGGGCAATCTCCGATGCGGCTCCGGATCTGTTCAACCAATATACACGTGGGCTTGCACGTGCCCCGCGTCAGGACTTTATGTATGATGGCCGAGGATTGGCAAAAAGTTATTGCGAAGGTATCTTATCTCAAAACTATTGATACTGGAAAAATTGATTAACGATGACCTGTGTAGTGATCATAGATTATGTCATCATCATCACCGGCAACATGTGTTGTTTTATTGAACGTTAAAACGTTCCTCACAAACGTGTACAACTGTTTCATTAAGTAATCCTCAAAACATTGTCTTTCAGCTAGCACCGACAGAATCGTCAAGTGAGATCATAACAGTAGGAAATCCACTAAATGAGAAAGCGTATGTATGGGATGAGACAATAAAAGCTCTAGAGGGACGCGTGTCGCTTTGGATCGATAACAGTTGCACGTATTCGGTGAGAATAGGACAGGAAGGAACCGACGAAGTGGTGCCAATGGGACCCGGTGCTAAACTCGCATACAGGTATGCACCTATTTTACTTTTCGAGAGAGCGTGATCAGTGCTATAATTTTTACATTTGTATTTGAACTGAGTGGTAAAATAAATGTCTTTGTTTAGGTGGCGAAGCCCAACAGCGCCGAAGAGGCTGCGGTTCGCTCTAACCAATCCTTCTACCGACTGGCGCTGGTCCCACTGTCAGTATTTATTTTCCCACTTCACATAAACTTCGAGTCATTCCTCCACATCGGGGCTATAGTCTGCCTTTTTTTAATATGATACAGTAAAATGTCAGTTCATTGCGCAAAAGTGGTACCAACTTGCAAGCAGCTAGTGATTGCAGGTGATACAATATTATATCGACCATCGACTGAATGTTGGTTACGCTTATGTATTAAGTAATCCAACTTGGTTCATTTGTAGTTGAACTTGAGGACAACAACTACATGACTATTTTGAAATTTATTGTAAACTTGTGCAACCTGCAAATGTCATTTCATATTTGACATTTTACTCCGTCTTCAAAAAAGACAGACTATAATCTGTTTGCTTTAAAATAATATATGTATGCATTATGTATGTAAATAAACAATAAAGTGAACAGTGTTAAGTCCTAACTTCTAAAAATAATAACTGCAACGTAACATTCCAGTTAAGTACAATATATAAGTCGTTACAAATTGGGTAAACTCACAAATAATATTTTGTACGGATAGTATGCAACACAAAGTTTCGATCGCTGCCGCCGATGTGGTCCCGCGTTACTTTTATTTTTTGTTCTGTTTCTATTCTCTGAAAAAATATCCTTGGAAGTGACTGCTACTGGACGTAACTAGATGTCTATTTTTTTAAATATTAAAGAGTACAAACGTACCCGACCGCACCTACCGTTCGGACCTACGGTCTACTTAAATATGAATATTACCTATCAACAGCTTAAATTAACATTAACTAATAGAAATAGTGTTGTTTGCTGATGACACATCCTTGATTTTTAAAACAGACAGATATGACATTAACTATGACCATATTAATGATACCCTCTCTAAAGTAGTTTATTGGTTTAATGCTAACAATTTATTGCTTAATGCCAAGAAGACAAAATGTGTTAAATTTGAATTACCTAACGTAAAATCGACTAGTCCAAGCATAGAAATAAACGGAGAAAAGTTAGACTTTGGTAATGAAGCAGTCTTCTTGGGAGTGACCTTAGATAGTAAACTTCAATGGTTTCCACATATATCTTCCCTGGCCAGCAGATTAAGCATTTTTCAAGTGTAAATTTATTTTACCTATGGAATAAATAATCTTTGACTTTGACTTTGGCTTAAATGTAAATGAAGTCCAAGATAACTTATTAAATTATTGTTTGTCTGACTAAATTATCATCTTTTGTTTCTTTTTTATTTTTAATTTCTTTATTATTTACCCATAGTTATCAAGTACAGGTATCAGGGTAGGCAGTGACCGCAGTCTTCCACCTGCTATGAACCTGACATATATTTCGCCTCATCAACACGTATCTGTGATTCAAACACGCCTGTCGGTTTATTATAGTGTTTCGCAATTGACGTTATTCAATATTATTTATTTTAATTGTAGATCTTAATCAAGATTACTGTATTAGACATGCAGTAAGTACAATAAAAATAATATAACAAACATGTCAAACTGGTGTACAACTCGGCTACAGAAGACTATCTATAGAGCACATAGATATTCCTCCACAGCCCGTAATGGACACAATTCAAAATTTTAAATATTCAATAGCAACACCACACGTAAGTCACAAATTAAAATAATTTGTGACATTCACCCAAGGGATCGTACGTCAAAAAGCCATTGTTACCGTTTTCGTCAGAGTGTCGAAATGAGACACTGCCCTCCTTACAGGGAGATATAACTTTTGAAATTAAACTTGTTTTATTATTTCGAACCCATTGGTTCTTGTTTACTACGCTCAATAAATGTGTATGTATTATTCGCCCAGACGTACGTTTCACGGCGGGTTCACGTCGAGTGCGCCTCGAAGGCGCTGATAACTTGGATGCCTCCGTCGCGACTCCAGGCTCCGGTGTGTTTTTGTACGTAAAAATAGCGCAACAAGGCGCCACTCGACAAATGCTTCTCACCGGACGCCTCTTGCTCGCCAACGTGCTGCGATTCAACTTGTTATTTAAGGTAAACATAGCAAAGTTTATTTATTGAGTCGTTTATAACTTTACTCGAAGGTCATGATCGTGTAATCTAATTATTTTGTTTTCCTGTACCAAATTTGTTTCATTCTCCTGCTTCTCTTTTCTTTTTGTGGTTGTATATGGTATGTGATGTATACATCATTTCTGTCTGCTGCTGTAAGTTTTTAAGTATATCTACTAACAAAGAGCTATGTCACCAGACAGAAAAGAAAAACTGTCATCCAACTGCTCACTGGCATCAGAATCCGTAATTGGCTTTATTGAAAATACATATCTATAGTATTACTTATTCTATTTGTGTTTTTTGTTATTTACGTCTTATACATTAGATGCTTTTGCCTGCTTGGACTGCCCCTTTATTCTTGTTCTGTTTCTTCGTCTTCTCTTGTGCATTGTGTTGTTATTTACCCTAGGTGCGGGCACATTTCACGGACGTGAACCAATGGCGCACCGTGGCCTCCGGCGAGCTCGCTACTGAATCCATCGGCCGAAGCGTTATATGCGCTGCCAACTGCGAACTAGTACTCAAGTAAGTTACTCATATCGTTCACGTTTCATTTAAAAGTAAAGACAGAATATCCAACAACATGGTAAGAACATTGTAGCGTGAAAAACGATGTAGTAGAGGTAGACTATAATCGAAAAGAAAATACATCTATGTTTTAGTCATGTGGAAAAAATGGCATGTGAAACGTAAGCATGCACTTTAAACTGCACGACTATCTGTCGTCATCATATGAGAACATGCCCTTATTGCTGCATTACGCTAAAATGTAGTAATTTATAATTTTCTTATACGTTTAGCGATTAGATAACCGTTCGCTACCTTCATAAATTGTAATATAGCAATTTGTCTTTAAGAATACGCCATTATAGAGTATCGTATACGTTTACCTGTCTGTAAGTGGTGTTATAACTTTTCCTTACAGGATAAGACTCAAAAATCACGAAACTGGTTGGTCCGGTGATATACCCCTGAAAGAGTGTCCAAAAGAAAACGTTCCATGGCTGGTGAAAGGTAAGAATAGGAATTTACGTGAAAAGTCAGTTCTAGATCCCCAATATGAATAATTTAAAAAGCAATGAAGCCGTTTTAAACTTAAGCATGTGTGTTAGAGAAACGTCCTGGAAGTTAATTTTGTGTTTTATACTATAATCAGTTTAGCCATAAATTCAGCTCTGACACGGACTGTGAGACAATGGAGGTAACTCGCGCCGTGAAGTGGTAGAAAAGCCTTTGACAACGAGCACCTCTCGCGCGCTTAAATGTTAGGTATTCGACTCGCATTTTCTATTATAATTATCATCTCAAGTAATACCAGAGATATTAATATTTAAAGTCACTGGTGGATGCTCAGTCTCATTTTAGCAGAAGACCAATTTCTATTATGTTACTAAAGTGTGACGTCACCGATAAATACCGCCTTCTAATACCTGATCTCTTAATGCCTTGGTAGCAGTAGAGCTCCTTGTGAAAGAGTTCGTCCAGGGTTGTACTGCTACATTACCTATTTCTGCCGCCAAGCAGTAATGTCAGCATTATTGTGCTCCGGTTTTGAAGGGTAAGGTTGCTCGTGAAATTACAGGCACATGGGTCTTGTCAACTTATGACTCTGGGTGACGGGCGCAGTGGTAGTGCTCCTCAGATCTTTGCAATTATAGCTCTAAGGGGCACTGTAACTGTTATGGACAGGCGTGTAGCTTACCACCAGGTGCGCGACTTGTTCGTCCCGTCACTTGTTATAAAAAAAAAACCTGTAACTCTAATTTGTTTACGAATTTTTATTCTATTTTAACATTTCATCGTCAATGTGATCAAACAGAACGAGTAAATTGCTGTTGCTTACACAGACGATTCACATCGTATTTTTTTCGATCAACATGTGTAATCAACTGATCAGACAAAATCGACTAAATGTGTAGGAAGTAAACGATCGATATACTATTTTTTGTCTGATCTAATCTGAAGTCGTTTTAAGTTTTTTTTATGATAAACGTTGGTAAATACATAGAGCCGTATTGTGGAAAATGGGTCCCTCCCGTGTTCCACAGGCCACAGGAGAACTGCGTTATGGAATGTGAATACAATACAATACAATACAAAAATTCTTTATTGTACACCAAAAAAGGAAACAAATACAATACAATTAAATTAAAAATAAGCGGTGGTACAATGGGCGGTCTTATCGCTTTAAGCGATTTCTGCCAGACAACCTTTGGATGGAAGTAATTATATAATTCATAGGAAAAAGACCTAGCTAAAATTAAATTAAAAGAAGTATCTACCTAGCTAAAATTTATATCAAATTTTTTGCCTGAATAGTTCCGAGCGATGGCGACGTGCCCTACATATCAGTGTGGTGCCGTGTAAACCGCGCTCGCAGCGATGGACGCATACTCGCTAGCATCTGGCCTTTGTATGTTTTGCGCTCGCATCTCCCGCTGGATACAGATGTAAGTGCTTCTGCAGTCGTCATCCAATATCACCCTGAAAGTACATTTAGCCTTCCATTCTTCCATCACGCATAATATTTTTGCAGCGAACGGCTGTTAAAATATAAGTTATTCGTCCTTTTTGGCTTCGTTCGGCCGAGTTCACTGACAGAGCTATTAGGTGTTTGATATTCATCATTAACCGGTTTAGGTCATAATCCACCACATTGGGTCGGTGCACGTTACGGACTTCATATATTTTCCAAGGAACCTTCTTTCATCACGTATACCGTCACGGTTACCGAGAATTGTCACTACTAAATATTCACAAACGTGTGTAACTTACAAATGAAAACCAAAGGTACATGCCGCTTCAGGACTTTTACCGCTTATATCAACGTTGGATATTATTGCACGATATTATGTTTAATAATTGATGTTCCAGATATTAATAGCGACGGAAATGGACGCGCAGATATCTCAGGCGTCCGAACTGCGGCCGCCGCCGTTGATCCAGTCTGGGCCTGGCCGCGGCACATTCACGCACCTTATGGCGCCCGGCACCACTTCCGCCAGGCATATATTGTCGTTCCAGTACAGGCAAGTAAACGAAACACCTCCTGTCCTCGGGCCCATTTCGAGAACTATTACCTCGGTTGGTCCCAAAGAGACTATTGATCCTTACCAGAGACTGGATCGAATGGCATAAAAAAGCTTTGTATAAATTGCCTTTTATCTTGCTGACTGTAACATTTTTTGAAAATTGGTGAATGCCGATCAAAATATCTTCAAAATTCATGGGTAGTCTTCTAGAACCGTTTCCTGTAACTACAACGATTAAGGTAGCTTGGCCTTGCTGTCCCGTTTCAAATGTACACCCTGTTTATTGCTGCCATGGCAATGTCATAGGTTCGAACGACAATTTTGAGCGGTACAGGTGATTAATAAATTCTTTTTTGTTTTTTGATGAATTCGCCGTATTTTTTTATTCAAAGTTACATGATAGTATTTGAGGTACATCTTTGGGCCAAAGTTGTATGGAAGAAAAAACGGACTCTTTAAGGGTTCAAATATTAATTTTCTAAAAAAATTTTGATGTCAAGTAGTTTGTGTTGTTATGTATATTTTAAGTTTGCATTTCTTGTAATTGACTCATCTATAGGCAAAATCCTGATGAATTGATATACTTATGAATTTGGTTGTGTATAGTTGGCCATATATTATATGCATTACGATACAGGAACATAGAATGTCCCGTCACTCGAGAAGCAGTGCCGCTTCACTACGGCGTGACTGACAACTCTGTTTTTGACAAACGCGCGCCTGTCAACAACGTGGAGGAAGTTATCGAAGAGATACGCAGTTGGTACGTATGTTTATATGTGCTATACTCCACTGTATCGAGTTGTAGTTTTAAGACCTAGGTAGGTGCTGTCGTTGGGTACGGGTATTCGCCAAAGAGGCGGTACCTGTGATCGCATAATCTACGTTTATTTATTTATTGAAGGTGATCGCACCTTCGCACCTGATATTTTAATTAATCTAAAATCCTGTGAACACGCTATTCTTGTATTTAGAAACTGAAATCGATGGTATAGTAATAAAGTAAATCATTTAGTAGGTTTAAATGATAGGGATGCCGTGTTGAATAGAGGTTTAATAAATGAGCATTGAAATTGCTGAATACAGGTTGAGACGTGCGGGGCGCGATTCTGAATCTGAGTGGCCTTACTCTATAGTGAAGGGACACTGGCCTGGGCCGTGGCAACCAACTTTTCTGCAGCCTCGTTGCGAGGTAGCTGTAAGTACCAAATTCATTATTTTTATTAAATTAATGATGAGGAGCTTCCGGGCTAAATTCCCGGTAGAACCACTAGCTCTACAAATTAAAAAATCTGGTTTTATTTACCGATTAATCCATCAATGTGTTATTTACGTGTGTAGGGGAATTGAACAATTACTCATTATGTCAACTTAGTCCGTATGAAATAAGCAGTGACGCGTCACTGACTCCTTTTAGGATAGATCTGTATTGCTGAACAATTTGCAAATATATAAAAATGTATACAGTCGTTACGAATATCCTTCCGTCCCTCCATTCATACATGATGTGGGTATTCGCTGTATAATTCCACGAGGCTCCCGATTCAGAACTTGTAGTTTATTAGTAATTAGTTTTAATAGTTATTTTAACCGAATCGTTAGATTGGATATCGTTCTCGAATCGAAGGGCGCTTTCCGCGCTATTCAGAACATTCAGGGGCGTATTCCAGAACCCTACTCAATGCTCAAGTCAGGACTTGAGTAAGATTTCAAGCACTGAAATTACGACTCGAATAGCAAGGACTTGAGTATGATTTCTAGTGCTTTAAATCATACTCAAGTCCTGACTTGAGCATTGAGTATAGTTCTGGAATACGAGAGTCAGAGTTAAACGTTCGATTCGGATTCGGATGCGATATCTTTATCCAACAGCGTTTACGGAGTTAGTCGGTCAACTAGGTTATAAGAAAAATTCAAATCCTTTTATATACGTTTTTAAGAATTTGAAGGCCTAAAATATAGGGATGCATTAGTCATTATGCACTAAAATGAATTAATAGAATTGAACAAAATCCAGATTATATTTAAAATAATAAAAGATTTCCATAATACATTCTTGCTTTGTAAACAATAGGACATTCGGTAACTTTCTTTCGATAACTGTCTTCTGAATAACGTTTGTAGCCTTTGCCGGTCGAGAAGTTCGAGTAATCGTACGGGTGTGACGTCATTTCGATTCGGTTTCGAATACGATAGTTTGACGTTCGATTCGGTTATTGTGAATAAAAATGAAAAGAAATCGTACGATGTCTAATCGAATCGGTCGACAACAGAGTTATCGTAAGGTTCTGCACCGACCTGCAGGTTCGCTACCAAGCTGTCCGCGCGGGCGGCGGGTGCTCGCTCGAGGTGCAAATGAGCCCCGTGCTGTTGCTCTGCAATGCGTCTCCGATTACGTTGACGTTGCGTGCCCACGACGCCGCGCCCTTGTGCAAGCTCGAGCCGGGCAGCGTTATATGTCCGCCCTCTGCCATGTTGAAAGTAAGTAGAAATAATAAAAGGAAAATCATGGCTGTGAAAAAACACAGTTTACTCTGCCTATCGAGTCAAATTATGCAATTCCATCGCACACTCTCCGTGATATGCCCTGTACAATAACGATAAGCAGGCAACTTTACGGCGGTGTTCAAGGTTCTGCAGTTTCGCCTCTACTAATTTCGAGTCACCTATAAGCCTCTTGCCACGCTTGTCTATTAAATCCAAGGTGGCCGTCGATATTTAACTGAGCCATCTCATAAGTGATATCATGTACTCATTATATATAAAAAAATTGTATTTTTTTTTAACGAAAGACGGTAACCATGAATTACAATTTCAGAAACCGTTCTTCATGTCAGTGGAAGTAGGCCGTGAGACGTTCGTGAGCCGGCAGCTGAAAGTGAGCTCCAAAGATCCGGGTCGGTACGGGACGCCTCCGCCCGGGGAGGTTGCACTCGAACATGCCATCACGTTCGCTGTTCAATGCAACCAAAAGGTACAATAAACTGAAGTCTAATAACGATAATGTACCAAACAACCACACCAATTACATGAAATTAACTTCGGGAAAACCTAGCATAGCAACAGCCAATTATCTTTTATCATCTCTTTGGAAAAAAATTGCAAACACAAATAAACTAAGAGATAAACATGAACTACTTGTCCACGTATAATAATTATCGTTTTAATAATATGGTTCTAAGACTTTGTTTCGCACAAATATTTCTTTTTGTAGAATAATAATATAAAACACACCAGCTAATAGAGTGATTGCCTTATTCAAGTTTATTAACTTGTGTATTAACTTATTCAAGTTATGCTTAAACGAGGAAATTACTCTTTTAAACCTTATAAATAGCTTAGGTATTGCTATTATAAGGTTACTACTCATAATGTTTATAAACCTTTTATACGCCAAATATAAGTTTCACATACTTGTTGCCAGTGTAATAATTTTTTGCATGTTATAAAGGAAGGTTGTGGCTTGTACACTATTTAAGCACTCGTTGTGCTTAAACCCACACTTGCAAACAATAATACGGCTGTAATAAGAACACACTTTTAGGCTTTAGAAACCTTTGTATGACAAATTTTGGCTAGTTGGACTAGTGATCAATTCGCTCTAGTTCGATTTACTGCTTCGCAGGTGGCGTTGCTGACGATGCACTATGAAATAAAAGAAGAAATCAACGTGGTTGGTATAACAGCAACTTACATGCTTGTCAACAGATTGAAGGTCAACATAATGGTTAGTACACTAATCTGAGCACTGAACTAAGTATACAGTAGCACTGTCGCAGTGTTAATTGAGAAAAAAATGTACATATTCATTTGTAAGTTCCATTGAATGTCACGATGTATTGCTACCATGTATTGAATATTTTTTTGTGAATTGCTCCACTAGTTTGTTATATTATTAATAACAAAGAATTCCTTCGATTCGCCCGGACTCTAACAGACGTCTTCTAGCAAACCGTACCAGACGCTATGCCAGCTAAGCCATGGAACGAACCAACGGACCTTACGAATTTTTCTATGTGCTTGTTGCAGACCTCTGTTTCTGTTAGAAATTTATACCTTCAAACATTCTGTAAACATTTATGTTTACAAAGATTATTGACATTGAAATTACACTGAGCGCCCAGTTACACGACGCGAAAGCTTTCGTGCGGCCGCCGCGCGTCGTGCAGCAACGGCCCAGCTACCTAACTACGCTTTCACGTACAGTCATATGCATGGGATATCTGACCACCTAACATGCCCAAACCGACCTTTTGGTTCTGAGAGCCATCTTACTTATTGAACAAAGCAATTTCAACTTTATTGTATAAGCGATACAGTGGAGTGTTGCTTGAAGATGTGATCAACATATTCTTAAAACCAATTCAAAATTTCGTAAATTGGTCGAACGGCTTGTTGTATGGACTGCCAGTTACAATACCCGTGCATCGATTCCACGAGCACTATTTTGTTTTAACTTTATATTTTTAACAGCATTGTTTCACTTTTTAATGTTATCGTTGACAAATCACAATATTTGCTCACTAGAAATTGCCTAAGATGGGTTCTACCCGATATTATTAATAAAGCGTAGGATGGGTATGGATAGATTAACAAATCACGAAATCGCTCTGCAGTTTGCTTACGATCGTGTCTTCTGTAATTACGCATTGTTCCGCGTTTCGTTTCCATTTATCTATTAAGTTTTAATTACTGTCAAAGTTTTCTTTCTTGTTTTAATAATATGCCGCACTTAACGAAATTAAAATGTGACTGTGTGTGTAATGTGACTCGAAACATGTTTGCCTGAACTTGCAAAGCAATCCATAAACCGCTAGGCCACGACGGCTTTACTACAGCTGGTTGAAATTTGTATTCTGTATCGAGTTCTTAGGTTTTCGCGATTGTTACGCTTAGGAAATGAAACTATTTTTCCGGATTTAAATCGCGTATATTTGTTTTTTCAAACGACGACGTTTCGGGCCCTTTACAGGTCCCATAGTCATGGTTGACTGAGGTGGTACAGTCTTCAACCAGTTATGTCTAATATTAATGCAAACCACCCTATTTTTCCACTATAGTTACAATAGTTATTTATTAAATAACTTATTTTTAATTTTACGAAGAAAACATTCCAATTTACGCTACAATAAGTTTTACAAATTATTTTATTGAATGAATTTTTTATTAATTAATAATATAAATTAGAATAAACTAAAACATATTAATTAGTACTGCACTCTTATGTCTATTTGGGATTTTTCATCAGAGGAAATACTGGATCCCAAACTGGTGGTACGGAGAAACCATCTTCCCTGTTGAAATTAGGATGTTTTTTAATTTCAATGGTCTCTCGCAGTATCCTGGGTAGATAACGGACTGCTTTTGCAAGGGCCTGGGGTTTGTCAAACTTCATTGAATGTGTAGGTTTATCCATAACATGCTCGCAAACTGCAGACTTGTTTACGCGACGATGTTTGACATCAGCTATCTTTGACGCGGGTACAAATACTTCGCTTCGTTTGTCCAATATAAGAGAGACCGCACTCCCAGTCAAGCTTGTAAACTCCTGCATCCTGTAAGGGGATGTTACATTTCAGCTCTCAGGAACTGAGAAATCTTCCTCAAGGGCTTGAAATAGGTCTTGGTAGATGCGCTCCTGAGGACTCTTCTGTAACACCTCCCACGTAAGGTAAAATGGCAGGTCTTCGCTCGACTTTTGGTGGTTTCACACGGGGCCTTCGGCAATGGCGTGGAACTTTCAACTTTTTCGCATGTAGGACTTGCTTTATATGCTGAAGTTCCCACGCCAGATGATTACTGTTGCAGACACCATGTGCTCTCTGACACAAAGATTTGCCAACGGTAGCTAACTGGTTAGAATGGTGATGGGAATTACCATTGATTACCATTTGTGTTCTGTATTTAAGTAAGAACTATACGTTAAAACTCAAATTGGCTTAAAAACTTTCCTACAATGTCAATCACTAATGAGACGACCAGAGAGTCATACCAAAATAAATTTTACGGTTCACAAGTTAAAGATTAAGTTTGTTTAACAATTTTCTCCACATTTTTGTGCTCAGAATCAAAAGGTCGACAAAGTCGGCTTGGGGGGTCAGGTATTTTGTGTATATGACTGTACATTAGGCGAATCTGAATGCTTATTTTGCCATGACAGTTCGGTTTTAGAACACATGTGTGCGGTCGTCGTGCAACATCGAGTGTATAACCAGAATTAGAGACGAAATAAGGGCCATGCGTCTCTGGCAACTCATCAGTCAAATGGTACTGATTACACTTTTAAATATTAATTCTCGTTTGCGATGAAATCACAAATTAGAAAGCTGAAATAGTACAGCGCCAACAACTGACTTGTGTGTATGTCAACGTGTATTCCAAAAATATTCAGTACGAACTATGAGAGGCTGTTCCATTCGGTGGTGTGGGAAAAACAGCAATGCATCTAATTACAAAACGAACGGTATCACATTTCATTGGTAATTAAATATGCATTTGTTCAATTTTCGTCTATTATAGCAAGGCTCAAGCTAAACTGGTAGATTTGAAAGGAAAGAATTGACGGCGCACCCGGGCTGGCGAATCGGAGCGCAGCTGTCACCGTAATGATATGGCAGAATAGTTTTCAAACAAATTAAATGACATTTCGTCTCTATTTCTGGTTATAGACTCGATACGCGAACGCGCCCTTGGGGTTCTGCCATAATGTAACCTAGCTACATTATTTTTTATCACAACAGTCTTTAACTCAATTTCATTCTTATAATATGTATATCCCAATTTCTATCTGCTTGTTTGGATTGTATTTACTATCATTGTGTTAATAGGTCCTCAAATATCGGACTTGATTTGACTAATAGTTTTGAATTTATGATGAATCTCCACACACTTACGCCATGTTATGCCTTCTTGCGCCCTCGTAACTTTTATACAAGGTGCAGTTATAATGCTCTCTCTATCTTCATGTCGTCTTGATATATTAAATATAAGTCAACAATAAACATTGCTCAGACACTTTAACTGTAGTGTCCACCAACGCACCCCTTATAGACATTTGTGCAAAATTTTAACTGCCGGGTTAGTTTTTTCTTGAACATCATAATTTACTAAGTTTTTTAATACTAATGTCACCATAATAAATGTATTAAATTCGGTAACTTTACGGTGACTCATTAGGATTTTAGAAAATAAATATGAAATACGCACTTTTTATAGACAAACGTTTCATATATAAAAAAAATCATTTTTAGGTGTCAGCTACTGCAGTCGTGAAAGAACAAGCGCTAGATGACAGAAAAAACGAATTCATTCGCCGTGCCGCTTTGGGACTTAAAACCTTTAAACTTGTGCCGCCTACTCCGGAAGGAACGTAAGTCATTCTCAATTTTTTTTTAAGAATGTTAGTAGGTTGCGGGGCTTGGCAATTGCTGGTCGATCTTGTAGCGAATAAACCAGTTTTGAACATTGTTGGCGTTCATTAGAATAAAATCGTGATGTAATAGCCCGATGTCGGTTTCAAAACCTGCAACTTTAATGTCTGAGTTACGTACATTTGTGAATATTTAGTAGCTGTTGCTTGTCGCTAACTGTCAAGTAAAACTGTTAATGAAACATGGACAACGACGACGGTTCACAACCTTCGGACTTGTAAATGCCAAGCCCGCATAGGTTCATCGTGGTGGACTACGATCTCTCTTCAGGGGAGACCGGTGGTCAGCAGTGGGAGGCGTAATTATGGATTGGTATGATTATTGATTTGAACCAAATTTAATGTTATGTATGATGCGGAGTGTATTCGATAGCGTTTACGTTTATTTGAAAAGAGCAATCTTGAAAAATTACATTTTCAAGTGTAATTAATTTGAATTTGACTTTGATAATGATTAGTGCTCTGGCCACAAAGAGGCAGCCACGGAAGCGTTGCGTGCGCGGGATGTTTTGTAATGTACGAGTTTGTATGAACCCTGCCACACTGAAAAAGAAAAGCTGTAAAGTTTGCAAATAAATAAATATATAAAACAGCAATTGATGATGATGTTAAATTTTTTAGCATCCTAGGCGCTTCGATTAGCCGCTTGTGGCTGCAGGACCGTTGGCGCGGGCACGATGTGTCCGAACTGCAGATGTACTTGTATGTGGCGCTGGCAAACTCCGCCGAGGACGGGAGCGCGCAGCCCGCGCCTGTCGGTGCGCCGGTGCCCGTCCGGCTCGGCGCCGCGCCGCTGCGCAGACCCATTGCGCTCCACACCACTAGTGGAGCTACGGTAACTAGGTTCCACCAGTTCACTACTTTTAGTAGCAGTAGAGCGCCTCGTGAAACAGTTCGTCCAGGGGAAGTACTCCCTACACCTTACACCTTTTTCTGCCGCCGAGCAGTAATGTGATCGTCACTGTATTCCAGTTTGGATTGGTGAGTTGGTCGGGTGCTGATGAAATCTCTCTCTCAGTCTCGAATCTTTGCCACCAGGTGCACGACTGAGCAAGGTATTGCATATTTTAGCCTTGTGCGGTTCTCGGCCGCACTCGCGACAGAGCCTACGCGACTCACGCCTGCACGCGTAGGAAGGGGCTACAGTGTCCCAAACTAGCTTCTACAGTAAACTGATATTCAAAATTTGCCATTCACGAAATTTAAAACCGTGAAACAGATGTATAATATAATACATACATATATATGTATATATAATCTGTTTTTTACAAATATATATATATATTATATATATATATATATATATGTATTATTAAATAATTTCTTCCTACTTGAATGACAAAACCATGGCACTGCTCCATTTAGTTCTTTGATGTTGCATTTAGGTAATATATTTTTAAAGTGTCTTACTCGTTCTTGTTCGATGGGGAAACCTGCCTTATGATTGGATAGTATAATCAATTTTGCTATTTCAGTTATTTTGTTTGTTCACCAGTACATCATAATAATTAGAATTTAAAACGGACGGTCTAATTGATGTGATTATGTAGCATATTTATTTTTAAGCATACATTTTATTATGAAATCTTACTTACACATATTTTTGGACTTAGATGCCAGTGGTAGTGACTCAGCAGAAGCACGACGGCAGGTGGCTGATCACTGTGGCGAACGACCCATGTCCTCAGTTCGCATTGTACAATAATACCTCGACGTCTATCGCCGTTGCGCAACCTGTACAGGTCGGAGAGGAGGCCTCCACTTCGGCTGTAAACGTGAGTTCACATATTGCTTGTCTTTGTCACTTTACAAGCGTAAGATGCCGAAATTCAAAAAGATATTTCTTTTGGAAAGATATAAAATACATTCTTCAGAATAATGTACAAGAAAGTTGTATCGTTGTTCATGATCAAATGGCATATTTGGCACATACGTTAATTATTAATACAAAGATAAGAACACTCAGAAAAAATTGAAATTAAAAAAAAAATATTTTTTTTGGTTGTCGACATCACCATGGATTTAACTTGTGAAAATTTTCGTAGTATGATTTTCTACGACTTTGAAGTGTAAATTAACAGCTCAGCGGAGCTTCACTCGGCTTCAAACTGCTTTTGGCGATGAAGCACCATGCGAAAAGACTATTTCTAGCTGGTTTGCAGAATTCAAACGCGGTCGTGTGAATCTTAGTAACGAATTTCGTGATGGTCGCCCGTCTATTGCTGTGAACAACAAAAACATCGATGATGTGCTCCGTATGGTCAAAACAGACCGACATGTGACATACCATGAGCCAAATACAATCAATCAAAACACAAACATTTGGGTGTGAAAGAGCTGTGCTCTCGGTGGATCCCACGCAATTTAACTGAGGCTCAAAAAACGGATCGCGTCACTTGGTGCAATATGTGTGCCATACTTACCAGATTTTACGAAGGGGCGTCAAATTCGGTGTGGGACATAGTAAGAGGTAACGAAACATGATCCCAAAACAAAGGAGCAATCGAGCGTGTGGGTCTTTCGAGATGAGCCGAAACCAACCATAGTGCCTGGCGTGCAAAATGCCGCGCGGGCAAAGTGCCTCTAACCGGATGATTGCTTCTTTTTTTAATAAAACTCGACACATGGCTACTGTTGCTTTGGAGAATCGTTGTACCGTGAATAGTAATTGGTACACGACCATTTGTTTGCCGGAAGTTATTGACAAACTCTGTAAAAATAACCGTAGACGCCGTATCATCTTGCACCACGATAATGCCAGTTTTCACGCGGTCAGACAGACAAATGAATTTTTGAAGGTTAATAACGTTGATCTTATGAGCCATCTCACGTACAGTCCCGACCTGACACCTTGTCACTTTTATTCATTTCCAAAAATTAAGAATCAGTTACGTGGTCAACGATTTTCATCACCTGAAGAGGCTGTCGAAGATTATGAAAAATATGTTTCAGAGGTTCACACGTAGGAGTGGCATAAAATTTTTCAAAATTGGTTCTTTCGTATGAAAAAGTGCATTAATGCTAACGGAGAATATTTTGAGAAACAATAAATGAATTTCTGACTATTTATAGTATTTTTTTCTTATTCATTCCGGAAATTTATAGTACGCCACACGTAATACTCGTACTGGTAGCCAGTTCACAGTCGATACGTTAATTTATTAAATCTTTCTCGTTTTTGTATTAATATTCTTCAACTCCGCGCCGAATTGGCGAGTGAAAGAGCGGTGTTATTAATGGCAATATTATTAGTAATAATCAAGTAATAAAATAGTATTCGTATAACACGAAAAAATATAAAATAATTACTTGTTTTATTTACACCTTAAAGATATTTTTCAGTAAGCTAAATTTCTTCTATTTTACGTATATTATCTGTATCATTAATATATATTGTAATGCTAATTTAAGTAGGCGTGTTTGTTAAGATTGTGTAACGATCTGTCAAAATCACCAGCCTATGTTGGCTCGACTATAGCCAGCCCTTGTGTCAAAGACGTAAAATGCGTATCTTTTTATTCTCTTCAAACTGTGTCAGGCAAAGTGCCATATTAATAAAAATAAATAAGTAATGCAGTTAAGACCTCTCGTTTTAATATAAATTGTAACTATACACATTGTCTATAATGGGCGACGGCTGTAACCTGTAAGTCTGATTGCAGGTGGTACCGGATTGTGATGGCGAACGGTGGCTGTGCTCCATCAACCCCAACACGTTGACGCACTATTCGACTCCGTCTCACTGTGCACGCCACCCGCCGTCGTCAGAGACCACGTGCAACCTACCTTTCCTTACGTTCGCGCGTATATACAGTAATTATTTATACTATGCTTTATTTGTTCTACACTTGTGGCAATTGTACACCGCTTAGTCATTTCGAAGTATGCACCGTTATGTGAGGACACCTGGGCAAATTATAACACCGTTCCGGGATTATGTTTATTTATTTTTTACTCGTTTATTATATGTCCAATGTATTAAATATATTTACATAATAATATATACCGTGCATTGTTTGTAGTCGAACCCGCGAACTTCTAGTCAAGGGTCTTCATTTACTTGCACTCACACTAATGGGATCCTTCTAGATGAAGATGTTTACACGGGTTGGTGTCCCCCGGTGGCTGTGACGGAAGGCGAACAACTGGTACAACTTAACCACAGGATGACCATAAAGCTGCGCGTGCGCGTCAACCCGCACTCCACCTACATCGAACTGCGCGAAGTTGATGATGTAAGAGAACATACTGTCTGACAGAGGTTTATTTTCGGTACTTTTCAAATGTAATTCATGAGAGCATGAATGTTGATAATTTAATACTTATCTTTAACATTAAAACAATATTGAAATTTATACAATAAAACTGGAATTCATATACAAATAATTTGGTAATTATTAAAAAAATGAAGACTTCATAAGGAATGTCGTTTATATTTTTGGCGTCACATTTCACTGGCGCCACGTTACTGAGGATTCTTTGAGAAGGAGCCCCGTCATCAATTAACCATAGTCGTCTCTCTATCAACTACAAATGTCATCCGTATCCAATATGATTAGTCCTGTTAACATGGAATAGAGTAGTCACGCAATATCGCGCTTTCGTAAATGTTATTTCAAGATTGAACAAAGTGAATTAAAGCCGAATTATTTTTTTACAGAATGATATTTCGGCAAGTGATATTCGTCGCCGTTTGGGTGAACCACAGAATCCTGAACCGTCCCACGTCTCTTCGGAACGAAATGAAAATGTAAGCTATTAAGCTATTACACACTAACGTACGTTCCTTTTCATCACACTTGCACATAAATAGTGTGATTGCGTGCAGGCTAACTTGACCTTAATGCCCCAAATAAAACCCTCGTGTTCTCATGGCTGCAATGAGAAGTAAAAGGCCTGAGCGTTTGATTTGGGGCATTATTGTCAATATTTACTTTACTCGCAAATGTGACGAAAAACATTTCACGGGCGGTACGGGAATTAAAAACCTCGATTTCTAATAGGGTCTCGTTCGTAATTCCTTATTTACCGCCCTATTATTATTAACCTCGGAAGCTCGGAAGGGCCATTCATGAGAAAAACAGTGATATTTGATTTGTATCGTAAAATGTAAACCTAATCAGAACTCTATGCATTTTTATATTATTATTTTTATGAAAATCATCCTTATCTTAGCGCCTTTCCATCAAAGTGTTAACACACAATGTATATTTCACTGGTACTTACGAGTAGTTTCGTTACATCTGCCCGTTACTGGTATGCGAATTTATTACAGCAATCTGAATAAATTATTTATATCATCAACCCAAATCATTCCAGCACGAGCTAATTACTAGTTGATATATGCATACAATATTTATCAACAGGCGTCCAGAACAGAGCTCAAAGAGGGACAATCAGACGACACGGACGCAGACGAACAGGGTAAGTTTAGTACGTAGGCCTTGCAAATGTGTGTTAGGTCACTTTTACAATTAATTTTATGTTCCCGCTAAGCTGTTGTGGCGTGATCTAATAGGTAGATTTTAACATACTTTAGGCCTATCTCCACTTGCTATCTTGTTTGTGAAATAATATCGCATAATTTATTATATATTATATACATTACTACGTTTAGGTTGCGAGTGTTCCGTTTTTACTTAATATAATTTAACGTAATTGTACACGTTTTGACGCTTTATGCCAGTAACGCAAAATTCCAAACATGCAGAACATCAGATTGGCAGAACTCCAAATTCTCCAAACAATGCCAGCTTCTCAAAATGCCAAATGTCACGGCCAGGAGCAGGCTTTCCTCCTTTTGACGCTCGAACTAATGTCCATCAGTGGACGTCATTCCGCTGAAATAATGGTGATAATGAAGCGAGGTTCTGATGTTTTATTCATTTATTAAAAACAAAATTTAGTTTCCTCTAACTACTAAGTAACATCTTTTTATCATAAAGAAACTTACTTGAGTTTTTACAATATTTTTATGAAACTTTAAATTTTTATTGAATTGATATTCAATTATTTTTTGTGAAATTACTCCACTAGTTTGTTATAATTATTAATACAAAGGTCGAACACTCAGAAAAAATTCCTTCGATCCGGTCGGATTCGAACCGACGTCTTCTTGCATACCGTGCCAGACGCTATACCAACTAAGCCACGGAACGAACCAACGAACCTCACGAATTTTTTTTTTATGTGCTTGCGTCGTCTCTTTGTACTTAGTCTTTCAACGACTTTTTAGTCAGTCATTTCAGTTGTTGTTAATATTTTAAAAAGTATGGGAAAAAATGTTAAAAAAAAATTTGTTCGGCAAAGTTTAATATTCACTATGTCCTATATATGTGACAACGTGACTATATTAAAAGTCCCTTAAAAAGGACATATGCCTTTTGAATGGTTGTAAGTGGACTAATTAGGAATTAAGTGTAATGAATACTTTTATTGAAAAAAAAAAAAACAAATTTTGCTTATTAAACATAACAACAACGTATAGCAATATAAGTTATTAATACCTAATTAAAGCTGTAAAGTTAGCAAGTTTTTTATGATAGAAAGACCAATTATATAGTAGTTAGCGGAAACTATATTTTGTTTTTAATAAAAGAATAAAACATCAGAACCTCGCTTCATTATTTCAGTCGAATGACGTCCACTGCTGGACATCAGTTCGTGCGTCAGGAGGACGGCTTGTTTCTGTCAGTGACATTCGGCACTTTGAGAATCTGGCATTCTGCGAAACTGAAGTTCTGCTAATCTGATATTTAGCCCGTTTGGCATTTTGCGTTTCTGGCATAAAGCGTCAAAACGATTGCACAATGTACAACAAATAAACTAACAAACCGCATTCTTTCCATTAGTATTAAGCAACGAGAATGAAAACGTCGAGGGTAATGACGTTACTCAGAAGGTAATCAGAAACCTAGACGAAGAAGAATTCGAAGATCAAGATAAAGTAATGGAAGTCATAAAAATAGAAAAATATGAAAAAGTCTACGATAAAGATAAAGCCGTCAGGAACAGTCAACTCGTGCAAACATTTACAGTCGACATAAATGTGCTACCTGTAACACAAGAGATATCTAATAAAATATCTTCTTTGATTAGCATAACTAATATTGGTTAGAAAGTCTTAGTTATAGCGCTTAATTTTCATTTAAATAGATTTCATTATTGCGTAATTGGCAAACTGCATCTTTTTAGTCGATGAGGAGATCCCGAGTTCGGTTCACGATAGGACCAATTTGGGAAAACGGAGTTTTGTGAATTGATTCTGGTCCGGATGTTCTGAAAAAATGGAAAAGGACTGTTTCGTCAACCGTTTTCGGTATTTTACACACATTCAGCCAGAATAAGGGGAAACTATAGATCTGTGAAACACAGGCATTCTCCACTGCACTTGATTGATAACGAGCCTTGTTTAATCATTATCATGAACGCATTATACGCCGCACTGCTAGACACATAATCATCTAGGCAAAAAGCTGGGGAGTTGACATGTTTTAATTTTTTTTTTTGACAAATTAAATATTAGTCCGGATATTTGTCCTTTCATTTTCCACATTTGACGTTGACACCTGTCAAAAGTTGAAGTTACTGAACGAAAACGATGGAGCCATTAAAAGAAGTTTTTCATGGTTGTGAAATCTTTTTAGATTTAGTTTTTCTCTAACCGACTTTAACCTGTACAATTTTATATTGTAATTCAGGCCAAATAAAACTTTAAAAGATATTTTTAAACGTAGAACATAATATGGGTCTTCGAAATGATATTTTTGAAATTTTTCCAATCTTTCTATTGACTTACAATTATATGGACGTCGGGTCCGCGCTAAAAAGTGTCCGCACTTGTAAGGCGCTAAAATCGTATACAGAGCGCGACACTCCGCTTTAGTCTTCATTTGTTCTACTGACAGCGCGATACTGCGATGACATTACAATTTGAATTTCGAATAGGTTGACTTGGGACATTTTTTTCGTGGTTTTTGTATTAGACCCGTCGTCCATTTATTTGTAAGTCAATGAATCTTTCAGAAATTATTCCGGAAAAATTTCCACTATTTGAAATTTTTCTGAAAATTACACAACTGTAGTACTACTAAACATTCACAAAATGTACGTATTATAACTTATAAATTAAAGACCTCGGTATAAGTAGTCACAGAGACCCGACCCTTCAATTGTCCTCTCTATCGAGAAGCAACCGCTCTCTCACTTGGCGGCCTGCTCTACCCCCGCTCTTTCATTCTTGCTTAATGATTTCATAAAATTCTCTTACTCGTTCCAATATTATGGCATTCAAAGTTGTACCTAGTAATTGTATAAACTAGTTGTAGAGTACATTTACGAAATATCATTATTAGTAACTAAGTGTTTTAGATTCTTACTATAATATTTATTGACTAGAATGTTACAATAAAACCAAAATAAATATATTTCTGTAGAAACATCGTATTTCTAGGAGGAACATTGTGATAAGAGAGGGTCGTAGCGTTAATGTAGTGGCTAGGACTGAAAAGGCAATGTCTCAGCATTAGCTTTTCTGTCCTCATATGGAAAGGGAAGCATAAGGAATGAATGTCCGTAGACTGAACTACGAGTTTATGGACCAAACGTGAAAAGGTCGATCAAGCTAGCTGGTTGTCCATAGTATCTGCCTACCAAGTAGGAGACAGACGTGATAGTACGTCATATGGCGTCGTTTACACCAATCAACTGTCAGACATAGCCGATGGCAACTACTTTACAAATATTTGGTCGGTTTTCCAAATTCGTAATTTTTTTTACTGCGGGTGAGATATTATTAAACGTTAAAATGTTTTACAGACAGCTTCATAAAGAAACCTACAATTCTTGAAGACATTGATCGCTCAAGTGCTGTACCTGCAGTGTCCACCGCGCCCATCGCTGACCATGTGACTGCAACGGCGCCGATGGTCTACTATGGATCTGAAAGTAAGTTATCACATATGGGACTTGTCTGTCAAAGTATTCGATACGAAAATATGGCGTTTTCATTACGAAATAAATTGATCACTATAACTCGATATTTCGGAGAAGGAAGGACGTAAAAACAATTTTTTTTTATCGAAGATGAGTTATTGGGGTATATAGTTCAATCTGCGTCATTACAACTCTCGATACTCAATACCTGCGAGTTGCTCTTTCGATCTGTTTACTCAAAGTTATGTTCCTTCACAAAAAATATTTTTACGTAGACATAATCTAAAATAAAATATATAAATAAATAAATAAAATAATCCTAAATGATTACTAATATTTAGTTTTCACTGGCTTTTGCGCCCTTTCTGTTTTAAAATATCATCGCATATTAAAATACTAAAGCAGCCAAAAAATTCCGACGAACTCCGAGCACCACAATGCACAGTAATTAATAAGGTATCGACTGAACATGGCAAGGATGTTGTAATTGTGCAATGTTCTATATTTTTACTACTACAGCTATGGACGGAAGGCAGATAGAGGTAGAGCGCGTGCGCATCTTGATAACGGGAGTGGTTATCGATTTGGCGGTGACGGACGACTCGCACCCCTTACTCGCCGTGCATCTCGACCGACTCGCGGCCTTACTGACCACACAAACCAAAGTAAGACCGAATTTTGTAGACCTTGATAGTTAAGACGATGATGGCGTAGTTAGAAATTATTTAACAAAGCAAGAAATAATAATACTTTAAACTACCAGTGCTTTTGATTTGGCAATGGCGGCATTCAAGCAAAAACTATATCTTTATTTTGTAAATCGCGCTTTTCACATAATCAACAAATTTATAGATTCAAATACGAACCAATGCTCATTTCCGTAAAAAATTGTGATGTGGCACTGCCCTAATGCAATTTAAGATTGTATTTTTTTACCTATAGCCAACTTACGGGTGAGTAAATATTTGAATTTGAATTGTACGGCGAGAATGGAGAGGGAACAGATCAACCAAAACAAGGTCTCGAAGGGCTCAGGCAAAGTCAAATATAAAAGAAAGAAAAAACAGAAAATGTTGAAACAATTGTTAATTTTCTTTTTTTACTCAACAGAAAATAAATTCAACAATATCTATAGGCGATATTCAAGTAGACAATCTGCAATACGACAGTGGGCAATACGACTTCGCAGTAATAGCGACAACTCGTGACGTGCGTCTCGACCCGGAGGCGTGGCCGCCAATTATGAACATGTTCAATGAACGAAGTGCATTTGCAATGAAACTTGACTCCGCTCGCTTTATACTCAAAATTTGTAATGACGAATGGAGTGTGGGCACGCTCCGATACAACGGTAAGCTTTTACGTATACGCTCACATGAGAGATTACATAAACTTCAATCTTCAGTTGCCCTTTCCAATTTTTTCTTTTAATTGGGTTGATGATCAGCAAGAAACCCGAGAAGAAGGCTAACGTTCGTGGAACCTAAAAACCAGCTGTGGATTTTTGTAGGTTCTTAGGGTTAAATTTTGGTCTCCGAATATATAATTAGATCAGAGGAAAATTTTCCTTGAATCGGCCATGATGTTAGATTTTTCTCTTTCACAGAAATAACAGAAATCGACGTGCGAGCAGGTCCGTTGGCTCTGTACGTAGAAGACGCTTATGTGAAATCATTAGCGGAAATGTTCCAACTTATTCGGCCGGTTCTGTCGTGTGACAGCGTAACGTTAGCTTTGGCAGAGGCGCGGACGTTGCAAAACCCTATCCGTTTGCGGTCTCTTTTGATTCATCCTTTGGACTTAACGTTAACTCTACATACTGCTGTGAGTAGAACTAAGCTCGTTTGTATTAACAATTGCGTAATCATTCTGTACGCGGTTATGATCTATATTGTAGTTAAGTCAATTTCAAAATTGAACTAATAAATCGACCCCTCCGACGTCTGAATTCACTGAAACGAACATAACACGTGACTTTAGCATTTCTCAGTTTTATTCGGCAAAGCTCATTACTCACATAGAGTATTATAAAATCCTAGATATCGGTTAGATGATCTATGGTGATTGATCGCTCTTTCAGTGAATTCAGAACTTTAAAACGCTCCTTTGTAAACTTGGCAATTTCAACGTACGATACTATAAGTAGGAGGGGTCGAAATCTGTCTTTCACTTAATAAAAAGCGGGTAAGTGGCAAATGGTCAAACATTTGTTTTAAATAGTAAAAGCTGGAGCACAGAATTTTCTTTTAACAACAGTTTTGAATTAACGGAATTTACCCTAATGGTGCATAAGTGTAATAAGACTGAAATAATGATCTCAAAAAAATATTTTGTCGCATTTTGGTCAGCGGAGGGCAGAAATAAGTATTAGACTATATCGTGTACGTTGTTCTGATACGTTAAAGTAAGTGGTTAAAGTAATTGTTTTATGGAAACGAAAAATTGGTTTTCGATGCTGATCGAAAGTCGTTTTGCAGGTTGCTCGAGCACGGAGGTTGACGAAACTTAGGAATTAAGAAGTCTTTTGTGTATTTGTGATTTAATTTCAATATTTGCTTTTTTCTGTTTAGGTACGCGTCTATATAGCGTTGGATCAGAGTCCGCTGCACCTGAGCGCGTTCAAGTTACACAACGTTGTAACGTCGACGGAGCGTTTAGTGCACGCACTCACTGTGCATTACCTTTCCGCGGCGATTCTTGGCGCTGGTACATCTTATTTATTTATTTATTTTTAACCGACTTCAAAGCAGGAGCGGGTACTCAATTTAACTCTTTTTTGTTGCGCGATTACTCCGGTATTTGTGAACCGAATATGATGATCCTTTTTTGGTCGGAAAGAGGACACCTCCGAATTGTTCTCATTCAAATTGGAAAAGAGTGGCAAATAAGTGAAGTTTCGATGTGCTTTGTCGCGCGAGAGGTTTATAAATGTTTGAGAGTTTGAGATATAATTTTGGATATAAGGAATCCTCGTTGGTGTAGGTTGGGTAGTGGGCGGGCTGGAGTTGCTCGGCGCGCCCGGCGCCCTGGCCGCTCGGGTGGGCGGCGCCACCGGCGGCGTGCGCGGCTTCGCGTCGGCCGCGGCCGCCGGACTGGTGCGGTCGCTCAGCGCGTGGGCCGGCTCCCTCGCGCGGAACCTGGACCTCCTCGCGGGCGACGAGGAGCACGCTCGCCGCGCCGCTGCCGCTCGAAGACGACCGCCCGACAGCTTTGCCGCTGGCCTCGTCGCCGGGATCACTAACTTTGCTATTAATATTCTTGGTGAGAATCCCGAGGGTCACAAACACCCTTAACACCATGCAACACGCTCTACACTTCTGTAAACCGATACCCCCAATCAACACTTGTTTCCTTTCTCACAAAATTCAGAGAGCATAATGTTAGTAAACAAACGTAACCCTTTACAAAGACAACAGAAAATGACCAAAATGTGAAGTTGACGTTATGTTCTTTGGGGTATCGAGATAATCTGAATAACGAAAAATAATTGACGAATGATTACAGGCGCTGTGGGCGGATTGGCACACCATCCTCTCGTGGGCGTGGCTGTTGGCGAGACGGAGAGTAGTGCGACGGCTCTACGACGCGGCATTATCGGCGCTTTGACGAAGCCTCTCAGCGCCACTGCTGACCTGGTCGCGTATGCTGGCCAAGGCCTACTTAAACAGACGGGCTGGGACCCGGTGCCACAGGTTATTAGTTTTAAAAGTCTCCCAATTTGTCATCAACAAATATACATCCCATTGATATATATGATTCTAGGCCATTGTCCTCTACCCCGTGCAGTTTGAGGAGTTCCAAAACTTAGTAAACCTTCTCCGATATACCTCAATCAACCTTTGATTGTCCAGCGGTCATTATTGTAACCTAACCTAACACCATAATAAGCCCACTCTTTCCTAATTCGATCTTGAGCTTGTAATTTTTTGATGCAGTTTCTGTTATTACCCGAACTTTCAGCGGCAATTATGGTCGCAGATCGCTAAACTATAATGTCGTTAATCATGACATGAAATAACGTACACTCGTTCTTCTATAACCGAATCTGCGAGGGAACCTAAGCATGCTTTGAAATGGAAGACTAGTGTGATCTCGTTTACAGTAAAACTGAAAATGTGAATTCATGACCCGTTTTGGGAAAATCCTCTTCGTCGTCATCGTTTCCGTTAACTGTTCACACATCCAGCTGCTGGGCGCGAGTCTCCTGTAAAGTGAAAATTTCGACTAAAATCCGTCACATTTTCTAAAACTTGTAAACGTTCTTCGACGTACAGATTTCGTCACGATGTGTTCTGTCCCGTTGTTGGCGTGAGGTATTGCTACTAAACAGTCACGAATGTAGCCAAAGTGATTCTATTTTTTTTTATTCGAACCATCCATCTCAAAATTAAGAAGTTACGGTTCACACACGAGGCTACCACCGCTTCTACGGCCTAGTCCTGTTCTTTGAACATAAACTCCAACTCCTTTATTCGCTTGAAGATGCAATGCAATTTTCTAGGCTACTTGTACACACAAGCAGGAAGTAATAATAACAATCGCGTTTGCTCTCAGCCTCGGTCAGTGAGGGCCCCAGCGGACCTGCAGGGCCCCAGTTGGGAACGCGATTGCGTGCGCTGGACGTTCCGTATGGCCGACCTGGTCGTCCACGCTGGCTTCGAAGTTCTGATCGATGACGCGCAGTTCCAACTATTAATCACACCTAAGGTACGTTGGCTTCTTATTAAAAATACTTGATGTAGAAAAATGACCTTCGTTTTTCAACCAAAGGGGCAACAATAATTTTATAAAAATTGATAGCTGGCATTAGTACCATCACAGGAGCAAAGAAGCGGTAGCTGTGCAATTCAAATTGAAACTCAAGGAGTTGATTAGAATCAAAGAATTCTTGTGGATAACTAGAATATACCTTGATTAATTAGTACGGGTTAAGAGACGTCAGTTCGCCCTTTTCTCCAGTGGCGCATTCAAAACCATCAAGGAGGCAATGCCGCATGATCCTTCAGAAAGAAAGACATTGTCACAAATACATTTCTTTTCTTAATTAAAAAGATATAAACAAATTAGCTCTCTACTAACATTACACAATGAAACTACGGCACAACCTGTATTTGTTTAGAAATGACGTCACCGCTGGGCGGAAATACCGCAGCCATGCGCCTACCATGAATGAAAACACAAACCGAAACCTAAACACATAAACACACATTTGAAAGTTGCAGAATACACAGGCACATTCACAGGCACATTGGATGTTATTTCTGTACTTTTCCGAAAGTGTTTATAGGCTCTAGTACAATAATTGGTGCTAATTTAATCTTATGATTCAACATGAAGAACACGATTTTCGACCCCTTTATTGAAGGAATATATCGACACCTGCGTGAATAGAATGCTAATGAGACTAATGAAATGTTGTTGCAGTACATCGTCGTAGCGGAGGGCGACACAGAACGGATCATTGAAATGATTGATCTGCGTTACTGCACTTTGTCGCCTTACGAAGGACCCGTCATTGAGGTAAGTCTCAAATCGAGTGTAGTTCACGGTACTGTGAAAGCTAACCCATACAGACTGTTTCAGTGGCATAAAAATAAACAATTTTTGTTTAATAATAGGCAATAGCAACGCGTTGTGTATCGCAATTACCGAAAGTGTTCGTGTTGACATTATTCTTCTTTATGGATAAAAATGTATAAGAGTATATTGACTTTTTAGTTTACTAAGCTCACGGCTAGTCTGTAAGGCATTTAGCAGTGCGGTGTGTCTTAGGGATATTTTTTTAATATACGAATTAAAATCGTTACAACTGTTGTGACGATGTTAGTTCCCAACCGTGTCTATTGAATATCAATGAAAAATAGAAAACTATGTTTAATTTGCAAGAAGCGTGACAGGTATAATCCTCGTCGTTGTTTTCAGCTACACGTTAAACAAAGGCGGGCGCACAAAGTGAGCGCAGAAGTGAGACCCAATGACGATGATGATTACCAGGTACTGTTTATGATTTTGATATTATTTTTTTTTTGTTTCTTAAGTGAAATAGCCATGGTCCACTGTTAGTTGAGAGTTTACGTTACGGTTACGTTTTTTGAAGTGTGTTGTTATTTTGTCGTTGTTAGGTTAGTAATTTATAATTATCGTGAACCGAATATTCGTCTCACTGTCAGGCACTAGGCCTTAGTTATCACGTTTGCAGCATGGGATATCAACGCATACCAGTAAACTTTAGTACACATATTAAAAGTGTAGATGTCGACACTTGGGCAAAATAAAACAATATAAAGTATTTAATCTCGGAAACTTGCGGTATATCATACTAAATAAAAAGTATAAAATATAAGAAAAAGAAATGCAAAACTATTTGCAAACATTTTAGGAATGTTAAATTAAAATTTACTTATAATTATTATGATAATTGGTTTTTCAATGGTAGACTTTTCAGTGTGCAATAAATTGTGTAGGTGGCATGTCTTTGAATTTATTCTCGAAAATAAGAAACGTTTTAGCATTGAATTTTACTTTAAAATATTAAAAGTACAGATTCAGCACCTTTGCGATTTTATTATTAATATGTTATTGAATGTATAATTACCGCCTGAGCAAGAGCAATAACTTTGACAAGTATGTTATGCTGCTGTCGGGATGCATTAATTGTTTTCACCTTAATTTTATTTTTGGGCACAAGCCCTCGCTGAGGGGGTGATCCAATCCGTAAACATCGACACTGACCAAGGTCTGTGCAAAGGTGACCGCAGCGGCCATGGCGCGGGTGGCGCGCTACACGGGCGCGGAGACCGCGGCCACCACTTCGGGCGTAAGCGCAGAGCACCGCATGCTGACTTTGCTGCCCAACCCGGGACAGTCGTACTCGCTGCACTGCACGCTCGCCGCCGCCATACACAGCAACTCCGACACGCACTTCTGTCTACTGTAATTGAGAATACGTTTAGGAAACAAGAGTCGTTGGCAACTTAATGATATTTAAATTGCCAACAACTCTCCACCAAAAACAAAGTTTACGTTTAAAGTTTAGTGCGACTTTTCAACAAAAAAAAACATTGTTATGAAATTACGTCTTTATATTATTGATAAAATCGTAACATAGAAATAAGCAACATTATAAAACGAACTATAATTTACCTACTGCATTATTCTAAACGTAGTATGCAATAGGTTGTACAACATCTAAAATTTCTTGGCCGACCCAGTTTAATAGTACCGCATTAAGGTCAACCTACCAAAAGACTACGCAGACCCGAGTTTTAAAGATCGGTGTGCAAATTTGTATTGTATAAATATTTACTTAACCATATGTAACAGTGCTTAAGTTACAATGTCATTGATCAATGTCAAAGCGAAGAATCTGTATTAGGCCACCCTATGTTAATATAACCAGACGCTGTTTTGACAGCAATAATTTTATCGCCATAAATAATTCTTTTATAATTCCGAATTTGGAAACATTTGTAGACTCGTGTGCCGGCAATAGAGAAACTTAATCCTCCGGCAAAGTTCACTAAATCGATAAAACAGATTCACGATCTATACTGCACCCAATCCTATTACTGTTACCAATAATAAATAGTATCTTTGTTTTGACATTGCCACGCCATCGAGGCAGCTGAAGCACATCTCGTCTATATACCTTATGATAGATAATGAAAGTTGTATTTCAATCATCCAAATAATATAATCGACTGTGAACTGGCAATCGGTACTATCTCAATTTTGACAACTTAACAGTATAAAGAAAAAAATTGTTTGCGTCATTTATATAGCATCTGGTCTATTAAATAAAAATACGTAGTATTTAGATATTGTTATTACACATGTATGTATGCACAGATGCTATTTAAATTATTTTTTCTTCACCGTGTAAAGTTGTCACAGCAGTTAGTCGAATATACTTTTTATACGACATTGGATTTGAACCGAGAATTTTCTAGTGTTATGTTACAAGTATTGTTTAACTGTACTTGACAACAGATGAACCGACTTTGGTTTATACGTTTGATCGTAATTATTTGTTCGGCGGCCTAGAAATGTAAATGATTTGCCTCAAACACGTCTGTTTGTAAAAAAAATGTCACATGTATTAATGTACAAGTGTATGCTCAGAATACATGACTTTATCGGAAAGGCACGTCGCTGATGAATGCAACAAGTCGCAATTAATTTGTTTTATTTGTACAGATGTAAATAGGAAACTTTTTGTCGATTATCTGCGCTCCACTGAATCTAATATATTCTCATTAATACAACAGACGTTTATGAAAATTATATCCATTTATATTGTGTATTTTTTAATTTATTTATGCGTCATTCAAGCAGCCGCGGGAAAGGTAATTACTAATTGACGTCTGCCATTGCTTTGCATTAGAAGTACCACGAAGGTAACCATTAGTGATCAAAACTAGAAGTGTAACGTAGTTTGTAGAGCTGAAAACACCCGTGGTTATTTGGATGGCACATTATATTCGTAGATGTTATCACGTAAATTATTATTTTGGTACGATTAAAGACTTAGCGCTTTGTTAGGATGAATGAACTTGAATTAATCGTCCACTCATCGCGTAGCCTTGCTTTGTAACCAGTTTCAAATGAGGAAAATTTTCTTTCTAATGATTTGTATTGGGGGTAATAATGAATGAGATGTTGACACAGTTTTTTTTAAATGTTCCGCTATAAACGCTATATATGTTAGTATTTTACTGTAGCAGCTTAATAATAGACTATGTATAATTTAATATTTCTTTACCTACAGCTGGTCACAAATAAATAGGAAAATTTCCTCTTATGAAACTGGTTGCGGAACACGTTTACGGCCGTAAGAAGCCAAACAACTCTGATGTTACTTTATAATATTGATGTGGCAATTTCCAATTCTTTTATATGACAGGAGTAGTATATTATAATGCAGGAAGCAACCTGAACGAACGGTATATGAGTTGGCGTGGATATCTGAACCGCGTCGTGTTCATGCTGAAAACGTCAGATAATGCAATCCGTGCAATTTCCCCCTTTCAACTAATACAATGAAAATAACGAAATGCCGACAGACCTGTTTGGCAACGTTTTTGTCTGTTTTTCAGGTTACTTCCTTACTGTAAGTATTTTTTTTAATCTACTTTTTGTCAACTTTTGGTGTAGTTTTCACATTGCGATGCAATTTGTATTAATAAACATGTATTATTTAAGTATTATCCATAGACAGCGACAAGACCTAAAGTAGTCAGAATTGTAAGTAAAAGAAATTAGTTCTTTTACATTTTCCGTAAATGGCGATGGTCATTATATGATTTGTGATTGTTCATTTATAAATTATATTCGAAGGACTGAGCTGAGATATTAACGTTATCCAACTGTCTCGGTAAGATGTGATATATTTTTATTTATATTTACTGATAATTTTCGATAAAAATAGTAAAAATCAATACTAAGTACATTTCTTGCATGCAGTGGCGGACATGCCCGGCCCAGGTCCGGACCTAGGGCGGCCAGACAAAAAATTCACTTGTGATAACTCAAGGTACCTAAATATTTTAACGACGGGCCGCACTTTCGTACATCTTATGTGTTAAATATATATATGTATGTTACATATCTATAATGTAATGTGTAATCACTACATACCGCGTCTGTCTGTCTGATCGCGATAAACTCAAAAACTACTGGACGGATTTTCATGCAGTCTCCACCAATAGACAAAGTGATTCATGAGGAAGGTTTAAGTGTATAATTTATTTGGCTTCTGTGTAAGGTGGCTCAAATATGACGATAAACGTTGAAGATGTCGGGAACAATCACCCGGCTGGTCGCTTTACTGGCGTGCGCACCGTAAACTGAAAAAGAGAAAGAGGCGGCTGGTATTGATTACATGGCCTGGGGCCTAGGGCGGACAAGACTGCAAATCCGCCACTGCTTGCATGACTGTCAGAAGACCAACACGACGACATTCGCCGTTTATTAGAAATCACCAAACTAAAATTAGTTTTAACTACTGTCTGCCTGTCTACATGATAGCCACTCTTCTCACTTTAGATAGTGACAAAATTGTTCGGAAAAGTTAGACCGCCGCAACTGTATGGCCACTGAGCACTATCTTTTAAACATTTTTGAAAAATGGTTCGACTTTCATTCGTTGGCGACAAACCAACTGCTGTCAAAATTGTTTTTGAGGTTGTGCCGCGTACAAAGACCACCCCACGGTGTGGCGAATTCTTAAATGTATATATTTTTTCATTGAAATCTATTGATATATAGTTATAATTGTTTAATATGACAAACTCGATGGCCAAATTTGTTATTATAAGTCCACGATGTTCGTAATATGTTGATACATCTTGGCTACTTTACTGGGTAATTTATCAGATCACAGTTGTGATTTACGGTAATTTTATTCAATAAAGGTAATTAATAAACGAATGTCCTTTTATTGTTAACACATTTGTTCTTTACTTATTTTTTAAAGTATTTCTTATAAAATTGCTTGACTCAATGAAGAAATTCTTACCATTGCCAAAAAAGTGAAAATATCACTCAACATTATAACAAGCAAACACGCAAAAACACAAAGTTGAGGTGAATTGAGATAAATGTTATTTTATCATAAAATTATTCGTCACTTATAGTTATAGTGAGACACCGCGCCGTGTCATAAAATGTCAGGAGAGCATTCAAATTTCATATAAGCTTATTTAGTACATAATCTTAGAGGATGGAAAAAAATAAAAGAAAGGAGCTGCCCCATTGACTTGTCTAAGTACATAATCAAAAACCTAAAAAACCTCCCTCTTATGATATGGGGTCCTTCAAACGAGGCGTGAAGAGGCATATTGTAGGCAGGCAGGGTGGAGGCGGCTAGTGCAGTGAGGATTCCATCGCTGCACTAGGTTCCTTCGCGTTTGGATACCACTTTCCACTTAACATCAGGTGGAGTGGAGTCATTTGCCTGTCAGGTATAAAAAAAAAAGAAAAAAAAAATAATACTCAGTTGTTTGACGTTATCCTTGTCAACTTTTTTTTATCATTTAATTCTCAATAAAGAAGTTTTGTTGTTAAAACTTGTGAAATTTACTTGTTAGAACTACGATCGTCGGTTCCTCTTTCTAAGTGAGGACATCAGTACTTGAAAATCCTACTGGACCCGCTAGTGGAACCAAGAATGGAACCAACAGTCCGAAAGGAATTAATCAGGTTAAAAAAAAATTATAGATCACTGTTGTTTAATTTGAAACGTTATGGTATAGTTCGCCTTCATCGGCCAACAACAAACTAATAGAGAACCCTGAATTTTCTGACGCGACCTAGAACGATAGTCTGTAACGAACTGTACGATGACCGAACAAGACCAGCCAAATATACTTAGGTCGTACGGATTTTACTAAATAAGTAGTGTTCAATAAAACTGCAACAGCATAACAATAATAGACTAAAAAAATAAAATACATCATGAAATGACGCCAAAAACAGTTCAATATACAATTAGAATAAAAAGGTGAAAAAACGACTCCTGCGATTCTGTACAAGTACTCTTACAAACTTCAAGTGTCATGAGAATCAAGAAAACATCCTCTCAACCTCTTGTGGAATTTGCATTTCGCGCGTAATTTTGCCGTGTGTGTAGCTCACTTGAGGTACGCGCTCTTATCTAACCCTGTCAAACCAGTATAGTGGTCATGTTAGCCTCAACGCGAAAGGAGGTCGCGGATGGCGGGGGAAGGCGGTGGGAATCCCAATAGAACGCGCTCAAAATTATCCTTAAAAACGCACTATGAAATATCAGTCATTCGCTTACACACGTAGGGTCGGTGCCGTAATTAGATATCCACAATTTGTATACGTGCTGTATAAATAGTGCATACGTAAGTTAGAGCACCGACTATACGTCGTCAATCTGCATTAACATAACTCTCCAAAAATAAATTTTATGTTTTTGTTGCACTTTCTGACACTTTTTAGATCTGTACTTGGTGG